AATACAGTCAGTCACAACAAGCTATACCACGAACAAACGCTTCGTATGTCAATGTAATTTTTCAAGCCCGATTACACACAAACAGAAAAAGATCAACTTCACCTTCAATTGGAATTATGCTTGAACTGCAGTGCTCTTTGCCGATGTTTCTTCCAGTTACAATACACACACACACAAGCACCTCACTCTCACTCTCACTCTCACTCTCCCTCCCGCTGCTGCTGTGCTTGGAAATCCATTCAATGATATATTCCCGGACGCGCGCTTTGAGCGAGAGCGCGCAGCGCAATAAGAACCAACTCATTGCATTATGCAAAATTATCAATCAGTTCAATTGATATTTATTATGATATATCACAGAGAAATCCAAATATAATTAACATCATGTCCAACGTTATATATACTGTGCATTCATTAATGCTTGCATAATAGGCTGCAGAATAGACCTGAACATTCCCATTCCCTGCAGCCATCACCCCAATGCCAACACTCAGTGTAAGGTAAACAAACAGCAATGTGGAGAGCACACCCGAGGTAAAATATGTGAGTAGGCCTAAAGCCCACAATATGATTTGTATTGATTTATTGCAGTTGTAAGCCTACTCAACAATAGGCCTTGTAGCCTATGATGGAAACTCGTGATGTGTAGTGCTGGGAATTGCCAGGGACCTCTCGATATGATATTATTAAGATACTTGGGTGCCGACATTATATGTATTGCGATTCTCACGATTCTATACGTATTGCGATTCGATGTTCCAAACATATTGCTCACCATATATCTGCTGCAGAGGGTCAAGAAAGAGCCATAAGAAAATACGTGTTGATTAGTCATGGAAATGAAAGTGCTGAACACAAATTGGCTCCCTTTTAAAAAAGAAGATGGAGAAAAATATAAATGAAAAATACTGGAGTTTTGTCGTAGGTACAGCCAAATAGTGCAAAAATAATATTGCGAAATTGTCAAAACAATACCATATATCATAAAAAATAATATCCCGATATGTAACAGTATAATCCCCCCCCCCCCCCCCCCCCCCCCATCACTAGTGATCAAATCAAATCAAATGTTATTGGTCACATGCGCCGAATACAACAGGTGCAGACATTACAGTGAAATGCTTACTTACAGCCCTTAACCAACAGTGCATTTATTTTTAACAAAAAAAGTAAAAATAAAACAACAACAAAAAAAGTGTTGAGAAAAAAGAGCAGAAGTAAAATAAAATAACAGTAGGGAGGCTATATATACAGGGTGTGTGTATGTGTGTGTGTGTGAGATTGTGCTGTGCATTTCTACCTAGTCAAGGTATTCTGAGAATAGCAATGATTAGTCAAATAGTAAACATTAATTTGAAGCAGATTATTTAATGTAAAAAACTTTGAACACATTGTGACATAAAATCAACAACAAAAAAAAAATCCGATGCAACTTTGGGTATAAATACTGCAGGCAACCAAAAAACAACATAGGTCATTAAATGTAGATCCAGATCAGGGTTGAGATCAATTCAGTTTTCATTTCAGGAGGTGAAATGAAATTCCACTCATGCTTAAAAAAAACTATTAGAAAAGTATTAATAAACTGAATTTCAATTAACTTCCTTAATTTACTGAATAAATATGAAATTGACCCAACTCTTATACATAAAAGATTAACAAACCACATTCTGATAGAGCACAATTCAGATTGTCCACCAGGGCATCTTGATGAGTAGCCTTACACTAGTTTATCCCTCCTAAACCACACTACTACAGTAGTACTACAATATCAACAACATACGGAAACCCTGGAGGGACTACCTTTTTGTGACAGTGTCGCACACGGAACCCGCTTTGTTGTGACAGTGTCAGTCACCTCCTTATATCAATATTGATTCTCCCCTCGGTTTGGGGGATTAGCCTTGCATGCAAAGATTACAACCTGCTCGATTTAACCCAGTCCCAGATTAACCGCTTCAGCGCTGAGCTGTTCGCTTCTGCCTGGTGTAGGGGAATGTGAGCCCATCCCAGCTACGCCTGAAACAAACTCTCACGGTGTGTCTCAGTACTCTAAAGTGGTTTCATCTCTCTGTTTCCTTTCTTTCATATGCACCATCAGGAAATAACTGGGGGGATAGAAGAGGATGCAATTTAAGACAGTTGATATTGAACCACAGAGCCCCTCTCAGGCAGGCTATTGCTATATTCCTACATTATGAAGTAGGGCTGGGCGATATAGTGAATTAATTCAAATGAGTGTTTTTTCCGCGATATTCCAAATGTCTGTATCGCAAAAATGTATGTTCATTTTTCATTTTTATGAGCGTTTATGTCCGCTTGTTCTCATGCCTTTTTAGTCTCGTTTCCTTCGCTCCATCTGCTGTGACTGTGCACCTTCCCATTTACACACAAACATAAACACCAAGCCCCTCCCCCTGCCACTCACAACAACAAAGATGAGAGATCACTTCATCCTCTCTGTGACAAGTGGTTTCAACTCGCTAGCTGCTATTTGCATTTGAGGTTTGGTCAGACAGAATCAGTCATATGGACACCGAAAGACATTGAGATATTATTTTACTGTAATAGAAGAGAAGTTCTAACGATACCCTTTTTATGTCTCAACTCCTCAAATTGCGTGAGAGCAGACTACTAAAACAGGAGTATCAATTCTGGAAAATTAATGCTCAGATTGTCACGCGCGGTATTGCAGTACCATGTACCACTAGCAGCCATTTAGCCAAACACTGTTATACTAGCTGTCTAGTCTGTCTTTTATAAATGTGCAATAATATTCGTTCTCATTCTGAAAAATAAGGTAGCCCACTTGATTTAAATATCTGAACAATGTGGACAGGCTAGCATGCTGTTGAAACAGTTGGAGACGGACAGAAGGGTGTGTTCAAAACAAGGTAGAACAAACTGTTCTACCTTGTTAGCAAATACAGTTGAAGTCGGAAGTTTACATACACCTTAGCCAAATACATTTAAACTCAGTTTTTCACAATTCCTGACATTTAATCCTAGTAAAAATTCCCTGTCTTAGGCCAGTTAGGATCACCACTTTATTTTAAGAATATGAAATGTCAGAATAATAGTAGAGAGAATGATTTATTTCAGCTTTTATTTCTTTCATCACATTCCCAGTGGGTCAGAAGTGTACATACACTCAATTAGTATTAGGTAGCATTACCTTTAAATTGTTTAACTTGGGTCAAAAGTTTCGGGTAGCCTTCCACAAGCTTCCCACAATAAGTTGGGTGAATTTTGGCCCATTCCCCCTGACAGAGCTGGTGTAACTGAGTCAGGTTTGTAGGCCTCCTTGCTCGCACACACTTTTTCAGTTCTGCCCACATTTTCTATAGGATTGAGGTCAGGGCTTTGTGATGGCCACTCCAATACCTTGACTTTGTTGTCCTTAAGCCATTTTGGCACAACTTTGGAAGTATGCTTGGGGTCATTGTCCATTTGGAAGACCCATTTGCGACCAAGCTTTAACTTCCTGACTGATGTCTTGAGATGTTGCTTCAATATATCCACATAACCTTCCTTCCTCATTATGTATTTTGTGAAGCGCACCAGTCCCTACTGCAGTAAAGCACCCCCACAACATGATGCTGTCACCCCCGTGCTTCACGGTTGTGATGGTGTTACATTTTAAAAAACATTTTAGTCATTTAGCAGACACTCTTATCCAGCGCGACTTACAGTAAGTCTTCGGCTTGCAAGCATCCCCCTTTTGCCTCCAAACATAACGATGGTCATTATGGGCAAACAGTTCTATTTTTGTTTCATCAGACCAGAGGACATTTCTCCAAAAAGTACGATCTTTGTCCCCATGTGCAGTTGCAAACCGTAGTCTGGCTTTTTTATGGCGGTTTTGGAGCAGTGGTTTCTTCCTTGCTGAGTGGCCTTTCAGGTTATGTCGATATAGGACTTGTTTTACTGTGGATATAGATACTTTTGTACCTGTTTCCTCCAGCATCTTCACAAGGTCCTTTGCTGTTGTTCTGGGATTGATTTGCAATTTTCGCACCAAAGTATGTTAATCTCTAGGAGACAGAATGCGTCTCCTTCCTGAGCGGTATGACGGCTGCGTGGTCCCATGGTGTTTATACTTGCGTACTATTGTTTATACAGATGAACGTGGTACCTTCAGGCATTTGGAAATTGCTCCCAAGGATGAACCAGACTTGTGGAGGTCTACAAAAAGTTTTCTGAGGTCTTGGCAGATTTCTTTTGATTTTCCCATGATGTCAAGCAAAGAGGCACTGAGTTTGAAGGTAGGCCTTGAAATACATCCACAGGTACACCTCCAATTGACTCAAATGATGTCAATTAGCCTATCAGAAGCTTCTAAAGCCATGACATCATTTTCTGGAATTTTCCAAGCTGTTTAAAGGCACCGTCAACTTAGTGTATGTACATTTCTGACCCACTGGAATGGTGATACAGTGAATTATAAGTGAAATAATCTGTCTGTAAACAATTGTTGGAAAAAATAATTGTGTCATGCACAAAGTAGATGTTCTAACCGACTTGCCAAAACTATAGTTTGTTAACAAGAAATTTGTGCAGTGCTTGAAAAATGAGTTTTAATGACTCCAACCCAAGTGTATGTAAACTTCCGACTTCAACTGTAGATCCAAGTTGACTAAACTTGAAATATAAAGATTAGCTGGCTACTCACTAGCACGTGGGCTTGTGCTTGAGAGATTGTTTATGAGACCGGTGTTGATTTTCTATAATGCCAGCTACAAGAAGTTAGTCGTTATTAGTGAATGTGCATTATGCATGGTGCTGGTTAACTTTGTAACAAAAAGGGCATTTTCATAGACAGACTTGAAAGCCAGATCAGTGATTATTGCAAAAAAGCAGGTGAAACTATTTTGATAAAATAATTTAATTATTAGTAGGTCTTATGGTTGTGGAAGGCTTATATTTAGCCTAGGTATAATTTCACAAGCCCTGCATTCATTAGATTATTGCTGACTGTTTGAAATGCAGTGTATTTAACCTTTAATTGACCTTTAATTGTACAACAAAGTATATCGTCAATTGCCCATGAGTTAGAAAACATTTAGATATGATTTTTAGGCCATAATGCCCAGCCCTTAATATCAAGTCTGAAAATAACGGAGTATGAAGCATGATAAATGCCAAATGTGATGAAATACAATAATTTCCACTGATTTAAATATGATCTTCGCGAAATACTATAACGAGGATATTGATCCCATCAATAATTCTGTATTTGTGAAATGTTGTTGGCGGATCGAGGGGAGGTTTGACATTCTGAGGCAGACGTGAATAAACACAGAAACATGGTCATCTTACAGTCTAGCCGCTCACTGAGAGGGAGAGGAGAGTCTTTGGTATGAGTGGAGGTATAGGCATCAGGGAGGTTCTCTGAAGAGGACGAGGTTCAGTCATCCCCTTCGTCATCAAAACAATGTTGGAAAGAGAGCATGAGAGGAGACGTTAGTTACTTTAGCTCCTTTAAAAAAATTGCTTTGGTAGATCTGAAGAAATTGATTAGATGTGTAGTGTTTTAGTTTACGGTACAGGAATGACCAGGTATTTACTTAAAATTACATAGTAAAATGGTAATTGCACAGTCATAACCCATGAACCCATGTGTTTTTTACTAAAACAAGCACCACTAGGCACCATGGCTCCACCTAGGGGAATGGGAAAGGAGAAATATGTAAATCATGTTAAGTAGCCTAATAATGAACCCATGTATTGATGTGAAAATATTTGTATTTATATTATTTAATTTATTATGTTTGTAAAATGTGAGAGAAAAAAGTAAAGATGATTTAAACAAAAACAAAAAATGAAATGAGAAAGGGCTAGAGGGTAGAGGCTCAGGGAAGGGTCAAGCACCGGTGGACTGAGCCCTCACCTCCCTGACTGTGGCAGTCCTCTATGCGTAGGCAGAGTGTTGTCCAATCAGGCTTTGGCCTGGGGGTGAGTACTCTGGATCTGCCGCTGCCCTATTGGTCAGAGCCTCTTCCTCCAGCTGGCACAGAGAAAAGAAACAGGTGAGATGGAGATTAAAGGATAGTGTGTGTGTGTGTGTATGTGTGTGTGTATTACCTGTTCTTTGAGGTATGCATGTGAGCAGGGTCCTAGACCCCTCAGTACCAGTCCCACTACGAAGCACCAGATGGACAGTCCTGTTTCCAGTCCTGCCAGCAGAACACATGGGAACCACAGAGACAGGGTTGTGTCCTAGAGAGAGAGAGAGGAACTTAATACATATTTGTGTGGTGTCAAAGCGGCAGAGGGAGAGAGGGACAGACGTCCTATAACAGACGTACATATATCCGTGTGGTGTCGAAGGGGCAGTCTGCGTTGATTGGTGAGCGGGCGTTGATTGGCAGGTCAGTGAAGTTGCAGCCCATCATGAGGCCCCGCCCCTCGTTGGCAATGGTGAGGCTAATAGCCAATAGGAGCCCGACGCCGCAGGCCGCAGAGAGTAGGGCATTCAGGAAGGAACTAATCAGAAGACCTATGTGCTGGAGTTGCGGAAGAGAAGGAGAAGAGAGAGAGAGCAAGAGTAGGGGGGGATAGGCGGAGGAGAAAGGAGGGAAAGAGGGGTGAAGTCAAGGGAGTATAGTTTATTAGGATCCCCATTAGCTAGACCTCTACCTGAGGTCCAAATAAAACTTACAAATACATGAAAGTACAGAACAGTTATAGACAAGTTATAGACATAAAATAAACATTCTAAAAAAACTAAAAATAATAATATGAGTTATCTATTGGAAAGACACTGAGACAACAAAAATACTATTTACACACTATTCATATCTACATATTCCTATATACAGTACCAGTCAAAAGTTTGGACACACCTACTCATTCAAGGGTTTTTCTTTATTTGTACTATTTTCTACATTGTAGAAAACTATGAAAATAACACATATGGAATCATGTAGTAACCAAAAAAAGTGTTAAAACAAATCAAAATATATTTTATATTTGAGATTCTTCAAAGTAGCCACCCTTTGTCTTGATGACAGCTTTGCACACTCTTGGCATTCTCTCAACCAGCTTCACCTGGAATTATTTTCCAACAGTCTTGAAGGAGTTCCCACATATGCTGAGCACTTGTTGGCTGCTTTGTCTTCACTCTGCGGTCCAACTCATCCCAAACCATCTCAATTGGGTTGAGGTCGGGTGATTGTGGAGGCCAGGTCATCTGATGCAGCACCTTTAGTGGTGGTTTCTTTGCAGCAATTCGACCATGAATGCCTGATTCATGCAGTCTCCTCTGAACAGTTGACGTTGAGATGTGTCTGTTACTTGAATTCTGTGAAGCATTTATTTGGGCTGCAATTTCTGAAGCTGGCAACTCTAATGAACTTATCCTCTGCAGCAGAGGTAACTCTGAGTATTCCTTTCCTGTGGCGGTCCACATGAGAGCCAGTTTCATCATAGTGCTTGATGGTTTTTGCCACTGCACTTGAAGAAACTTTAAAAGTTCTTGACATTTTCTGGATTGACTGACCTTCATGTCTTAAAGTAATGATGGACTGTCGTTTCTCTTTGCTTATTTGAGCTGTTCTTGCCATAATATGGACTTGGTCTTTTACCAAATAGGGCTCTCTCTCTATACCAACCCTACCTTGTCACAACACAACTGATTGGCTCAAATGCATTAAGGAAAACAATTCCACAAATTAACAAGGCACACCTGTTAATTGAAATGCATTCCAGGTGACTACCTCATGAAGCTGGTTGAGAGAATGCCAAGAGTGTGCAAAGCTGTCATCAAGACAAAGGGTGGCTACTTTGAAGAATCTCAAATATAAAATATATTTTGATTTGTTTAACACTTTTTTTGGTTACTACATGATTCCATGTGTTATTTCATAGTTTTGATGTCTTCACTATTATTCTACAATGTAGAAAATAGTAAAAATAAAGAAAAACCCTTGAATGAGTAAGTGTGTCCAAACTTTTGACTGATACTGTACAGTTAAATTAGATCTTTAGAAAGAGGATAGGCCCGGTGATACAATATGTTTTTTTATCTGTTTTTTTTAAGCTAAACTTGCTTTTTGCCTGAATAACCTCTTGGAGCAGGGCATTCCACGATGAAATGGCACTATACATAACTGAGCTACGCATTAAATCTGTTTTTGGTTTGGGTACAGTGAAGAAACCCATAGTGGTGTATCTGGTGGGTTATGTATGTCTGTTTGAAGTGTATGCAAATAGTTAAGAGGTTAGACATTTTCAACACACAAATATTTATTAAAAAGACTAGAACAAGTAATCAAGGGAGGTCAGTGGGGAAAGAATGTACGAGAGAGGAGGTGAAGAGTTGATGGTTGCAGACTTAATGATGTTCATTCTATCTTACAAATTATATGTTATTGTTATGGATGGTGATGGTCTTACCAGTTTCCAAACCAACAGATTTCTTGACACCAATATGGCAATAATTCCTGTTGCAATGCTCTGAAAACGTAAAGACAAACGTACGTTTTTTTTAATCTATAACATCACGTTATTACAAATTATTACTACAGTAACCCATAATATAGTTTTCTGACTGACCAGCAGTCCAGAAGTGACAGAGATGATGTTGCCTGCGGTGAACTCAGTGGTGATCTGGTCGTTGGGTTTGGAGATGTGGCGCAGGATGCTGCCGTGGACGATGGCTCCCAGGATGAAGTTGATGTGGCCCACTAGGATCAGAGTAAACCCCTTCTTCATCAGCCACCCCGGACCCTTCTCCTTATCTGACACACACACACACAGAGAGACAGACAGACAAACTTTCTGGATAAATCTCTAAAGCTTTTCACAGCTGGATTGTACAATATTTGGCCATTATTATTTTGTACATTCTTCAAGCTCTGTCAAATCGGTTGTTGATCATCGCTAAACAATCATTTTCAGGTCTTGCCATAGATTTTCAAGCAGATTTAAGTCAAAACTGTAACATGGCCACTCAGGAACATCCACTGACTTCTTGGTAAGCAACACCAGTGTAGATTTGGCCTGCTGAAAGGTGGAAAGCAGACTGAACCAGGTTTTCGTCTAGGATTTTGCCTGTGCTGAGCTCCATTAAGTTTATATTTTATCCTGAAAAACGTTCCAGTCTAGAACTATTACAAGCATACCCATAACATGATGCAGCCACCACTATGCTTGAAAATATGTAGAGTGGTACTCAGTAATGTTTTGTATTGGATTTGCCCCAAACATAACACTTTGTATTCAGGAAAGAAAGTGATTCTAACATGTATTGACTCAGGGGGTTGAATACTTATCTAATCAAGATATTAGTGTTGTATTTTTTACAGACGTTCGAATTTTACTTCCACTTTACACTGCAGAGTATTTTGTGTAGATCGTTGATATATATTTATGTTTTTACAATTAAATCAATTTTAATCCCGTTTTGTCACACAACAAAATGTGGAAAAAGTCAAGGGGTGTGAATACTTTCTGAAGGCACTGTATGTGCAATGTAATGGAACTGAGAGTCATGATCAAGGGTTATCAACGGGTGACAAAATGTAATCGGGTGACAGAATGCTTCCCTCGCCGAAGTGAAAACAATAGGTAGCTTTCTCCGGTACAAAAAAAAAACAAGTAATTTAAAGTTCACTTACCGAAACCACACATACTTCTGCAGTATATTTGTCAAGATATAGCCTATTTCATGGAGGATAACAGACAGGCTAACGTTTTATTTTCATGAAAAACCTCCTCGCGCCTACCGAGTTGGTGACGTCACGGGCTTCACCTGTCAAGCGATGTTGGGCGTTCACTGGGAACAAAGGTCAGTGTTTGTATGCAAATTGAAAACAGGGCGGGAGAGTGTGTTACATTTTAATTTGTGTTTCAATTATCTCACTCTTACTGTGTGTATAAAGTGGTTGGGGGTAAAAGAGTCAGCTAAATGTAGGTCTGTATGTGTGTATCAAATAACAAAATTGTATTGGTCAGTTACACATATTTTTGCAGATGTTATCGAGGGTGTAGCAAAATGCTTCTGTTCCCAGCTCCAACAGTGCAGTAATACCTAACATATGTCATTAGGTGAGAGTAAACCACAGACTAGGTGGAGGCATTCACTGAGTTACTGTTAGCAGTGTCTGATTGAACATCCCAGATGAAAGTATTCAGTAACTAATTAATGACGAGACATATTTAGGGAGAGGTGGTGCATACATATTTAATCATACAGAATACCAAACAATTGAATAATGAAACATGAAAGAATCATACATTGCAAAGGCTCTCATAGGATACACTAGTCCGAAGGCACACACACACACACACACACACACACACACTACTACTCACGCATAGGCACACACACAAATCCAATCACCATACTCACCAACCCACTTATTTCTCAATCACTAAATACACTGCCCAAGTGCTTCTCACAAAGTAGAGAGTATAAAGAAAAAAATAATCAGATTGTGAATACAGTAACCGTAAAACAAATGTTAAGATATTGAGGTTGGATCTAGTTGCAGGCTTTGCTGTTGCAGTTGCAGTTTTTCCAGCTAAAATATCAGATTGTCACAGTGGACAGAAACATTTCTGAGTAACAGATGTGACCCGCTGTAGTTTGACTGCTTAGCTTTTTGCCATTCTACCAGTGAATTCAGCTATGGGGAAAGAGGCTGTTGAGTAAACTTAAGGCAAGTGCATCATTCTGTAGCCTGGGTTGCATTTGGAGTGTGCAATGTACTGAACGTTGCAGATAGAAAAGCAATGAATACAGCTAACAGGATTCATATAGGTGTGACTGTTCTACACAATATAGATCCATGTCAAAATTCCACAACATTGTGCCCTACTGAATGTGACCCAGGTTACCCAACTATTTCTGCACTCAACAGCACTAGAGTGTTGCCGTTGGCAAGACAACAGCTTGGTTAAAGCAGTATGAGTTAGACAGCCAGGCCACTAGATTAACTGTTGTCCACTCATATCTACATTTCATATTTGGACTTCAACATCAACTCCTCATTGGGTTGTACAGTAAAGTAAATCATTACCTGTTCACAACAAAAAACATACTTTCTCAATGGCCAGAATATTCAAAGGAAAGTCTAAAGGAAACCATTCAATTATCCAGATGAAGAACAGTATAAGAAATAAGGTTGGCCAAACAATGTAAAGTCATTATTATTAGTTTTTACAGACTATATAAAGTTGGGTTAACCAATCAGAGGCATGAATACGGCGTTCACCGATCAGCCACCTCTTAACTACAGCTCCAGCCATTGGACATCTCCTGTAAATTGTTCAGGTAGTTCCTCTGCTTTGACTGACAGCCCGTAAATCCCACCACTCCCAGACTATTGGCTCAGACTCCATGGGGGTGTGGCTCCATTCGTTAAGAGCACAGTAAACATTTCAGTTTGTTAAAAAAAGTGAAGATATGACACATTCGTAACAGACTCCACTCCCCCTACCCCACTCATAAATGTATACAAGGCTCACCTACAGCGTTCAGAAAGAGAGTGAGGTTCACCACAGACATTCATGCATAGCTGTGACCACACCGAAGCAGAGAACTTTAAGGGGAGAGCAAGTGTGCTTGTATACAGCCACAAAAAAGGCAAATGGCAAAGATAGTAAATGCATTTCTAAAAACACAAACAAGTAATACTGACATATGATAACCGTGTTGGCTTCCTTCCCAAAAATAAGTTGCTACTGTAAAGAGAACTAAACAGAGGGGGACTGACTCGGGCAGCCCCGTAAGGCTATATATGGTCCCCCAGAGAATTAAGCCTTGTTCACACTGCAGACCTTAAAGCTGCAATATGTAACTTTTTGGGCGACCCAACCAAATTCACATTCATTCTCATTGAAAGCAAGTCTAAGAAGCGGTAGGGGGTAGATCTGTTCTATGTGCGCTATTTCTATGTGTCCCGTCAAGTTTCATTTTTGAGTCATACTTTCAGTTTTGTACACCAGCTTCAAAACAGCTTAAAATACAATATTTTTGGTTATGTAAAATATATTTTAAAGCAGTTTAGATGGTACAATGATTCTCTACACTATACTTGTTAGTTTTGTCAAACTGAAATTAGGCAAACTATTAGAATTTTAGCAACCAGGAAATGGCGGAGCGATTGCTGCATAGTGCATCTTTAATGCTAAAATCCGTTTTGGTTTTCAAATCCGTTTTGGAATACTGACTGGCCAACCAAAAAGTTACAAGTGACCAAATCGGATGTGTGGGTGTTCAGACAGTAATTTGCTGACATGGCTACGCTAGTTGTCATATTTACGACGGTTATGTGCAGTGGTGTAGGCTGGAGGTGCTCATGCTTCCTATCACTTATGTAGTAAGCTAAGGTGACAATGCCTGCCATGGACATTTCCCAGTTGCTTTGAATGTTCAAAATCAGAGTAAGAAACACTTTTAAAGCCTCGAAGGTTAAGATGACCGAACTTTCAATAACAAGTCTTTTTTGGCTAGCCACAACAATCAACTAGCTAGCTTTAGCTTTCTAGCACATTCACCCAATTGTTTGTAAACAATTAACAAGCTAGTTAGCTACCACATTCTTGTCAAACTGTCAACAGAGAAGCTATCAAGCAACAAGATATGCCAAATAACAGTAAAAACCACTTGAGGGCAAATAAAATCAGATTTGACCGTTCAGACAAGTCGCATGGCCAGGAATTAGATTTGTATCTGATTTCAAACCACCTACGAAGGTGCCTGTGGAGGCGTATATAGAGGTACTGGAGTGGGGGTCTGTGGTGATCCTGTTATGTGGACACAGTGACAGGGTTGAGGGAATCGTTCCTGCTGAAGAACTTGGTGAAGGCCTCTTCTAGTACAGTGGCCATCCTGCTTTGGTCCACCTGTAAGGACAATCAATCACATTTTGTGGAGAGGGAGCACACACAGAAGAGTCAAGAGTTGGGGGTGGGAGATATTATGTATGCATGCTCCAGAGCTATAAGTACGGAGTGGGAGAATCTAAAAGCAGCATCCTATCTGTAGTAGAGTGGAGAGTAGGAGCTGCTATCTGACATTTGCGCACACTGCCTGTGTGTGTGTGTGAGAGTGAGTGTGAGAGTGTAGGGGTCAAGCAGAGCTAGAGTGTGTGCGACACTCATAATGGACACTAATCCACTCTCCTCTGCCATCTACAACACTTACTCTCACAAACCCACACACACCACTCTACCACAGAACACCTACAAACAACCTTTTTCGTCTCTCTCACACAAGTACACACACTCTTACCTCGCTGATAAAGCCCAGTTGGACCAGTTCAACAGCCAGTTCCTGTACATTCTCATCTGGAACAGAAACAGTAGGGTCAGTGGTAGCATATACACAGATTTGTTCCTACGCAATCTTAAGTGCAATATCAAAATGTGTTAGTATCCCAACAGAGTTACACTGGACTGTTGTCTCTGATAGGAGCAGCTTAAGTATCAATAGGAGGTACATGTATGACATGGGAAGACACAGGTAGTTAAGGAATATGCATGCATGGGTGAGTATACGTTTGTGTACGTGTAGGCAATCTGTATGCATTTGTATCCCCTGCAGGGTGTGTCCGTGCCCCAGCCCTCCCCAGAGACAGAGCAGCTGCCAGCAACATCCACACACGCCTGACATTCTCAACACATGGGCATGCAACACTAGACACGCCTGTCATGTGTGTGTGTCGGGGGGGGGGGGGGTTCATACGAACACACCCTCCTGACTATGGGAAGACTAGTGTTCCACGTAGATCCCTAACTTAGACCTGTATTCCCTATGGGGTACAACATAATACTGTGTTTGTACAGTCTAAGGATCCCCAATATGGCCTTCCATGCATTGTCCCCCTCCACCCAATTCCACCTTATCTGCACGCTAGCCCACTGGTATCTCACATACAAGGCACACACACAAACAAACAGTGATCATGCCAGCTATGAGTGCAATTGAAGCAGCCCCACCGATGTGGATTAGGCTGGGGTTACAGTACACTAGGGCAGGGCCAGTGTCTGGAGTCAAAGACAAAACACACAGACAGGCTTTGTGGCCAAAGTCCTGCCATTCCCAGACAACATACACAACAAGCTGGGTCAGACAAGAGCTGGGAGGGTTACAACTCTAATCTCTTCGATTGTGAAAACTGACATTGTTTAAAGGAATGCTGTGTGGCTATGTTATCTTACCCAAACACCTGTCTAACAGTTTGAGACTGGCTACATAGTTTGATCGAGACTTGTGGCCCGTCTGGCCTATGCACCTGTGTTCCATTGAGTCCCATTCGTCATTAGGAGAGGACAGTCCAGTAAGACTTAATCCCATTGGCCCCCTTGGGAGCAGTATAGTGGCTGCGGATTGTCGTGTTCTTGTTATAGAAGACCTAAGGGTCCAAGCGCGGTCTAATAAAACACACTGGGTTAGCAATAGCATAGATCACAGTATGCGTTCTGTATTCCTTTAACTGAACGTACACTTTGATCTCCAGCCCCTGCCTGCCCAGCTCAATGACATGTCTGTTTGTTTCTGTTGTTCTTACTGGGTAACAAGTCACAGCTTAAGTGTCTGTTCAGTTTGTCCTCCAGCTTCAACAGTAGTGTCAGCTGTGGAGGGAGGAGGAGATATAGAGTAGGTTACACATTCAGTGACTGGCCACTAGAACATGCTTGTTGATGTCATCTAACTTTTATTCATTGAACTGAAAATGATGAGATTAAAGCTACTTACATGATGTTTTGCACCCTCCTCCACTGGCTCAATATTACACTGCATCTGAACAACCTGCAGAAGGTGAGAAATGTAGGTGTTCAGATAGGTGTCCAACAAATCAAATGTATTACTATTATGAAGTAATTGATTGGATATATATTACTTCCCACTCTCTCCTCTCCCTCACCTTGCGTGTCTCTAGTTCAGAAGGTTCTGGGGTAGGGGATTTGACGGAGGGGGTGACAATGGGGGATTTGACAGGGGACTGCTGGGGCTGCTGGCGAGAGGGCAGACCGAACGCTGTCAGGGGGTAGATACCATTCCTGTTAGGGAGGGCAGAGGGGTTACATTCATTTCATGATGAGACAGGTAAAGCATACACATGTTATTAAGGCTAAAGTGTAGACCCACGATGGTCACCTTGCAACATCAAAACTCTGGGAGCAAATCTTGAGTGTTTGTAGGTTCTCTTACATTTTTACACACACAGATTTGAGCAATACTTCAATAAAAAGTATGAACGGGGGAAGGGCTAGAGAAAAACCTTATATTTCAGATGTAGGCAAAGCACAATAATAGGCTAATGCTAAATACTGCCACCCCAGAGATTGTATAGTGCATTACAAGATGCTTCTCTAGTAATGTAGCAGTAGAGGTCTATGAGCGCTCTGGTTTAGCTACACCCTCTAGTGGTGAAAATATGTAATAGGCTGGACAGCTTCCTGGTCCTGTTCAGTAGCTGATGGCGAGTTCCTTACCTGACATCCTCCAGGAACTTATCCAGCTCCAGGGCAGGAAACTGAGACAGCCTGATGAGAGAGAAAAACCGGATCAGCACAGGACTGAAGAAAATACCCTGAGATCTAAAACTTACTCAGTTAAAGATAGTTAAACTGTTGGTGTCTCTTACTTCAGCTGCACGCCCTCCTTTATCTCAGCGATGATGAGGTTGGGGTCCATGTTCTTAGTGATCTCCTCTAAGGCATTCTCAGGGATCATATCTGAGAGAGGTATGGAGAAGATAGAGGTACTCACGCTGGTGGCTGATAATGCAGTGTATGTTTGTGTGTGAGAATGAGCGAGTGTCTCGTGTTTGTGTGAAGACTCACTCTGGTGGCGTAGTGTTTATCTGTGAGAGTGTGCGAGAGAGACTCACGCTGGTGGCTGACGATGCAGTGTGCAGCTAGCAGCTTTAACAGGGGCACCTCAAACAGAGCCTGGTGGAAAAGCAGCTCTCTGGCTGTAGGCCTCTTAAACGGGTCAGCCTCCAGACACTTCTGAATAAACTCCTGCAGGGAACACACACATGGGTATCACACACACACAACCATAATATTACACGCACACACACACACACTTACCCTCTGCAGTGGGTCTTCCAGTGACTGTATGGCATTGTTGATGGCCTCCTGAGAGACGTAGGAAGATTCTCCATTCCCCTGGATCTCCAACACTGCCATCTATATAACAGACACACACAATGATATCACCACCATCCACCCAACACAAGCCTCAACGCAGCAGAGAGCAGATAAGCCTGATACGGTGATATGACATCACATGAGTTCTGACGCACAGAGATTACATCAATTTTAAATGCATTTCAATTTGAGAGTGCCATCTCACCTCCAAGGCACACATCCCAAAGGAATAGATATCCACTGCAGTGGTGACATCTGCAACAGCTACAGGGGTCAGGGAGAAGATAAAGTAGAGAGAGAAGAGACATGAGGCAATGATGGTTTTAGTGAAAGATATTTCCTGAGAATATCCTATATTTAACCTACATCTGACCTATCCAAGGCATTCTAAGTCTTTACCTCCATATTCAGGAGCGAAGAAGTGCAGGTTTTTCTGTTCCTCTCTGCAGGTCTTCACATGGTTGTTGATGGTGTCTGGAGCCACTGGGGGAGAACAGACACTGGATTAGACACAGTCAGACTATTTGGCTGCGTTTAGACAGGCAGCCCAATTCTGATCTTTTTTCCACTCATTGGTCTTTTGACCAATCACATCAGATCTTTTCACATCAGATTTTTTTCAGAGCTGATCTAATTGTCAAAAGACCAATGAGTGAAAAAAAGATCAGAATTAGGCTGCCTGTAAACGCAGCCTTATAATCTTATAACCTGGAGCTAAACCCATACAGGGCTGGTGTGGTGCTGTTCACCCGGGTGTTTAGGACTGGAGCACTACCTGATCCTATCTTGATGAGTCCGTTGTGTTGGATGAAGATTGTGTCACAGGTCAGGTTCCCGTGGATGATGGGCGGCTCACAGGAGTGGAGGTAACTAACAGAGGCTCATCAGAGACCATAGGAGTTAGTCAACCCCATAGTTGTTTTCATCTGTCATCGTAAACCAGGTTCGTGTTCCGTAAGGCACACCTCAACAAAATTATTGTTCTTATTGGTTCAGTTGAGGTAGAACATCCATGTTTCACACCATTACAAAACATTTTCTCCTGTTTCGTGCCTACTACACATCACCCTGATTACCTGTTTTGATTGAATATGGGGCCCTGTTATTAGTGTTGCAGCTATGACAGAGTTGGTCTGTATGAGTGAGAGAGACTGACCTGAGCGCTGAGAGGATCTGTGTGCACCATCTCTTCCAGGCCTAAAGAACAAACAAATGATACATTCTGTTACATGTAGACTAATGAATGTCTTATCTGCAAAGCTAAACATCCTTTGATGTGCTACTGTGTTGTAGGGGACTTGGTGGGCAGGGCAAATTGTATTATGATATTTGCACCTTTTCATTCATGGTCTTGTGGTTCTTCTTCGTCTTCTTCAGAAACTGTTTCAGACTTCCCGAGGACATGTACTCTGTGATGAAAATCACCTGAGGTGAAGACAGCAACTTATCAGGTAGGAAGAATCATTGAAATTATGTGTTACATTATTTCACTGACTCCTTACTCACATTGGCCTGACTATATCAACCAGACCATGTGATACAAACAAGGAAAGTATTTCCTCTCATAGACGAGTCAGAACTCACCCTGGCACGGTTGATGTCATTGATGTCAGCCCAGTACTTGTGAAACTTGACAATGTTGAGATGCTCCAGCTGAATCAGGTTGTCAAACACAGACTTCACCTTCTCCTGTTCACAGAGGAATAGGGAGAACATGGGGACAGCATTTAACTAAAGTCGCCATAGAGGTGGGATCACCTGTTTGTATCAGTGTTCAAGGCAAATTAAGATATTTGCTCTAGTACAACGATAACTCTACTAGACACAAGAACAGACAGAGAGGGGAGATGTTTGTGTAGCAGCCAGACATACTTTACCTCCTGCAGTTTGAAGTTTTTCCTCTCAGAGAACATAACCTCGTTCCAGACCACCTCCACCCCCTCCTCTGTGTCCATGGCCAGGTAGGCAGCGTCTATCCCTGGGACGTTCCGCTGGTTCACCTGGGGGAGAGAACAGAGGCAGAGACACGGTTCAGTACTTTCACAAACACTGTTGCAATACGTTCATGGACAGTCCAATGGTCAATGTGTCTCACCTCCTCTCTGCGTTTCTGCCAGCGGCCGCAAGGGCTCTCCTCCAGGATCTCAGACTCGTCTTCGCTCTCATCCTCCTCATCCTCGGTGGGGGTGGGGGGCCCCGACACAGTTGTGGACACGGACGTAGGTCCCTGGCCACTGGGGGCCACTGGCTCTGCCTTGGCCTCCGGAGCCTGGATGGGTTTACCATCTTCCTCTGACATCACGATTATACCAGTCTCTGGGGCAGATTGTGCCTCTCTGGGGTTCAAAGGCAGAATGCCTTTCTCCCTCCCTCTTCTGGAATTGTGGCAGCCGCACCCCCTTACACTCTCACACCCTGAGGACTATGAGGCACTGTTGGCAAAAGAGACACCGTTATTATTTCTCTCTCTCACAGAGTTTGGAGCACACTGCCAACTCATAGTTATCAATACCTTACCTGTACTATGAAATGAGAGTTTTTCTTATTAACTACTGACCTATTTTGCTAGGTCGGGACTGGCTACGTCACTTCAACAAGTCTATGGTTACCAGTGAGGGCTGCAAAGTCAAAATCTCTGCTATAAATTAACTGTAGCATTACTGTAGAAAACCAGCTTAGGCCTACTTGCTACGCAGTTGTTATGCCGTGGACTGACATTGTACAGTAGCTGGCATTGTTAGCTAGCTAATTAGCTGGTGTGCACTCAAGTTCCACTTGTAACTAGCTAGTTAGGTAGCCAACTTTAGAAGCTAAGCTATCTAACGTTAGTTCGCCAAATTTACACGTCTCTATTCCAAACTTGCGACATTAAAGTTCGATAACTAACGTTACCTATAACTTGCTAGCTAATTGACCAACTTTCACTTTGACATAACGTTAAAGATAGCCATGGGGTCACAACTGGAAAATGCCGTTAGCTAGCTAGCTAGCTAGCTAGCTGTACCGTACTGTACCATTACTAGTTACACATTCAGAAAATATGTCTAACACGAAGTTACTCCGATAAGTAACCAGCTAGCTAGCTTAAAACAACTTTAGTTAGCTAGCTAACGTTGTCAACGTCAGCTAGCCTAGCTAGATAACTTTAGTCAAACAGTTGATTAAGTTATATAGCTACAGTAGCTAGCGTAACTTTTAACTAATAAACAAGTCAGCAATATCCCAATTTTGTTACCCAGCTATGCGCTATATTGCCAACAAACACGGTCAAGTAAGCTACTTACTTGGAAGAAAGTGACAACATGTGTTGCTTGTAAATCCCCTCGCAGTGCGTAAATTAGCTAGTAGTAGCTAGCTAGAAATGACAAGGACGCTATTCAGGTTTTCAGAAGTAATTTAATAGAATCGGGGGATTCGATTATCTGGCCCGGGTCGCCCGGGTTTGCACCAGGTGAAAAGTGAATTCATTAATTTTCCAACCGGGCTGCCTCTCGTATATGAGATTACAAGTGTAAATGTAGCAACTTTATATCAAAACGCACACTGATTTATCCTACTTGCACAATGACTTGTTTTCATTTTCTACGGATACATTTGGAAATGTAGGCCTTCTAGCTTAAAATAAATAAAAGAAAACACATCAATACTTGTCATCTCAATATTTCACATGCCCATTTGACGAATGTCAACATTCTTCATTCCTAGACATTTTGTTTTCACGTATATGCACAAATAAGTACTATAATAAATACAAAATAGTTTTTCAGTTCATTCTATTTCAGAGAAGTGGCCCAAGTGGTTATATATGGCAACCGTGGCAAGAGGGCTCCAGATATGGGATGACGTAGTGACCGTAGTGGGAGAGGCAGCGGTTCCTTCAACAAGACCACAGCATCGACAGTCGTCACCCCACGACACAGAAAACAGCTCGAAGACACTAAAATACTCGATATTACAAACTCACATGGATGCATATGAAAGTGTATATCGACTAACTTTGGTAAATTAGACTCGCATGACCATTGCCTAAAGGCTACACACAACCATAGCCTATGAATGTGGGGGCTATCGCTGCGTGGAAGTGACATTTTATGGAGGCTTGGAGACGTAGGGGAGCGGGGAGCAGAAGGGGGTAAACTGAAGATTGACACACCAAACTGGAAACATTGGACAGATTCTGCTGGCTACGAGTGACCCACACGCACGGGACGGGGTGGAAACATGGCCGCGAATGTCAATATAACATCTGGGATGGGAGAAATTATTCAACTGAACGTCGGTGGGACAAGGTATTACAGCGTTTAAATAGCCTTACAGTCTATAGAACTGTCAATGTGCTCTCAGGGAGGACAGTATTGACAGACTCGAACAGGCAGACATGTTGCATGATCGTTTCTTTTTAGGTTGACAATGACATGCCGTCGCAGACGAGAACATGGGATTGGAGCTGCGATCAAATGCACGAAAAGCACGCAACACACGCGCTCGTATTGTCAAGGCGTTTACATTGTAGCAAAATGCAATCTTGGTGTTCCGCAGCGAATGGGCATTTTCTGTCACATAGGATATAGGCTCATATAGTTAACTATGGCTATGTCTGGAAAATGTCCTGTATTATTGACTGTGTTCCAGTCAAATGTTTGGCAGAAGCCACGGACTCCAGGGTAGACGTAACATAGTAAACTTAAATCCGGGATACTCCAATTAGTTTGATATGTTACGTTTCCTATGGTATGTATTAATTTGTGGATGTCCATCATCCATTTCGTATGTTATGTTACGAATTACAAATCGTATGATATGTTACAAATTGCAATGTGTCCGTGATGAGGTTCGAACACACAACCTTTGGGTTGCTAGACGTTCGCGGTGTATGCCTACCAGTCTACCCCGACTAACCACCCTGCTTTTGTTTTTGCCTTAAGTAACCTTCTGTCTTATGTAACCATACCAAATGTAAAATGTACTATTTTGATTGTACTATGTTGCAGTCTATGAGACCAGGCTGCAGTAGCATTACCCAAGCATGATACATGTATATCACAGTAAACACTTTCCATGATGTATTAAGTGTGTATGTAATATGACTCCACCTTGGACATAGAAATACATGAAGTGATGCTATGTCCTGTGTATCCCTCTTCGGAAGGAATACAAAAAGTAAATGAAAACACATGAGAATTCATGAACATTTATATGTATTATTGTACAGTACAATTCACTGTCATTGCATGTCATTCATTTTGCATTGTGTCATGATACAGTATGTCTGATCTAAGGTATAACCTCTCCTCCCTCTCAGGTTCAGCACCTCTAGACAGACTCTCATGTGGATTCCAGACTCTTTCTTCTCAAGGTGGGTCTACATCCCACTGTACTTGTTCTCTGCACATCTCTGCTAAAATGTGATCTGGCTACAGCTCTGGAAAGGTTACCTAGTTCACTTCAAGGTTCATCTCCCAAGGATTCAATCTTGATAATGCACAGTGTATCAAAAACAGTGTTAGGTCAAGTCTGGCCCACATTTTACATAAAGCCAGAATGAAAGCTGAGATGAGCTTGTTAGGGGCTAACTACAGCACGAGGTTAAGTGTGTGTGTGTGGTGTGTGTGTGTGTTTCAGTTTGCTGAGTGGGAGAATATCAACTCTACGGGATGAAACTGGAGCTGTGAGTACATTCTTCTATGCGACAGGCAAACATATTTGTCTTCAATGTTTTCCACGTTTTTTGGGGGTCTGGTGAGAGCGTAGGCCACACATTCCACAAATACTCTCTCATGTACTCTCATACAGAGATATTAAACTGTAACATAATGATATTTATGTATTACGTTTCTAAATGTGCCTCTTGTCCTCCAGATATTTATTGACAGGGACCCAACAGCCTTTGCGCCCATCTTGAATTTTCTTCGAACCAAAGAGTTAGACTTACGGTAAGAACACCTGACCCTCTCTACACACAGGAACAGTATCCTTTAAATATTAGCAGAAGCATATTGGTACAGGTTATAAGGTCCTATGACTGATGTTCTCTTCTCTTCATAGGGGGGTAAACATTAACATTCTCCGCCATGAAGCTGAGTTTTATGGGATAACACCATTAGGTATGGCCTCTATGCACTAACCTGAATAATTATTGTGCTTCTACATGGTATTGCATTGTTATTTTCTATAACTAAACATCTTAAGTGGATCTGGAAACAGCACAATTAACCATCACTTAATAGTTTGACCTTGTCCACTTACCAAGTAGTTTTCAGTACACTACCTACTGGATAATACTAGGCAACTGTATAAATCACATGCTGTAAAATGCTGATTTAGTGGTTTATATAGCAAGTTTCTAAAGTGTTTCAGACTATCTTCTTCTCTTGTGTTATGGTGGCTGTCTTCAGTGAGGAGGTTGCTGCTGTGTGAGGAAGTAGAACGTTCATCCTGTGGCAGTGTTCTGTTCCATGGATACCTCCCTCCTCCAGGTACTGTATTCCCACAACTCTCCCTTACCTGGAGTTCTGTCCTCTGGTACAGGTGAATTACAGGACATCATTATATTCTCCCTCCATCGCTCTTATCCCTCTATCTCTCTGTCTGTTTACAATGGGAAACATGAGCGCTCTAGTGATGCTCTTTCTAGTTTTGGTCTTTGAACTTTTGGTATTTTTGACATTCATAAAATGTGTTAGTCATGTAGAATTTGAGTAATTTTTTATTAGTTAGTTGGTTGATTGATTGCTTGAGGAATGTGTTTCTCCCACAGCTCTCCCAGCCCGTAAGTTCAGCTCCACCCCTGCAGCCTCGGGCCCTGCCCCTGAGGATCGGCCTGGTCCTACCGGAGCAGAGGGGGGGTTCCCCCATACCTGTCCCCCCCACCCCTCACTCCCCGGACCCCCTGGAGCCGAGGGACCACACAGACTGGGTGAGCAGGAGGGCAGGGTTAAAAAACAAGGGTGGGGGCAATGGTGTTTGTGTAATGAGGCGTGGAGCAGGGCTGGGTACTGTGGTGCTCTACTCCCCAGTCTCCTCAGAACACTGTGTGCCTTTTTAATGACCAATCAGAATAATCCTCAGTCCTACCACTAGTCAGGAGATGGTGTGTGTGTCTGTGTGTGGCTGTGTTAAAGCTGGAGCTGACATGACCTAACATGGGGTAAAAAGCACCATAGTTAAAAGCTCACATTTAACTTAGTTCTGGGCTGTGTGTGTGTGTTTAGAGCCAGAACTGGTTTGAGCTGGAGTTCAGAGAGCATGAGAGGGCTCTCAGTGTAGTATGCACATGCTTTGAACACAGCTGAATTATCCTATTAGTAATATTGATGATCAAATTATATTATGTTGACACCCTTACTCAAATACATTGTACATGGTTGTGTACAGACATTTTGTAATAACATTGCATTTGTAAGCACTTTAGTGCAATCATGCTAATGTACAGAGCATGCTCACTAAACAGTAAAAAACATAGGGAACAATATGGGTAGGCAAAAATAATACCATTATTGACCTATATCAACTATTGTGTACAGAACTGTGTGTGTTTTAAGGTAAAATGTTATGTTTCCAGGTTATTAGGTAAAGTGCTTTGTTATGTGTCCAGGTGCTGCGGTGGACCCTAGGAAGGTGCTGATTGTAGCTGGACATCATAACTGGATCGTAGTGGCTTATGCACACTTTGTCATCTGCTACAGGTAACACTGGCATTAGTAGTCGGATTCATCGACTCAGAGTTGATATTATTTATATATTATACTCCTCATAAATCTTGAGTGTGGGTGTACTAATGTGTGTGTATTAACGTGTATGTGTTCTTCAGGATAAAAGAGTCGTCAGGGTGGCAGCAGGTGTTTTCTAGCCCCTATCTGGACTGGTCCATGGAGAGAATCGCCCTTAACGCCAAGGTTGTGTTATACTTCTATAACTGTACATCACTAAATCACAATGTATTGTCCGAAAGGTGCTTTATCAATTAAGTTTATTGTTATACAGGTGGTGGGTGGTCCCCATGGCGATAAGGACAAGATGGTGGCAGCTGCCTCCAATAACAACATCATCCTCTGGAGCATCCAGGACGGAGGGAGTGGCAACGAGATAGGTGTGTGTGTGTGTGTGTGTGTGTGTGTGTGTGTGTGTGTGTGTGTGTGTTTGTGAAAGCGAGACATGCGTGTGTTTTATTGTTTCTCTCTCCTCTCTCTAGGTGTGTTTAGTCTGGGTGTACCAGTAGATCATCTGTTCTTCATTGGGAACCAGCTGGTGGCCACCAGTCACACTGGGAAGGTGGGGGTCTGGAACGCTGTTACACAGCACTGGCAGGTAGGATTACATAGGGTGTGTGTGTCAGGATGGAGAGAGGGAGAGGAGGGAGGGAGGGAGAGAAATGTGAATAGGGCTTAGAGAAGAAAACTGAAGAATGTTTTAAAGTGTATGTGTGCCGTGAACATAATTTTCTGCCTTTTTTGATGTACAGTAGTAGCCATGAATATCAGAGAAAATAATAATAATGTTGTGTGAGCCGTGCGTGACGGTGGCCGCCCGGTACACAGGGAGAGAGAGGGGTAGGTTTCATTTGAACCCTTTCTTTTCTCTCCTCTCCATCAGGTGCAGGATGTAGTTCCCATCACCAGCTGTGACACGGCTGGCTCCTTTCTTCTACTGGGCTGCAACAACGGATCCATCTACTACATAGGTACGCACACACTTAATTCAGGAAGTGGAATTAGATTTTTTGTTTATTTCCTTAATTGACTGAAATGGAATTGACCCTACGCCTTCTTGGTTCTCTCTCTCAGACATGCAGAAGTTTCCTCTGAGGATGAAGGATAATGATCTGTTGGTGACGGAGCTGTACCACGACCCGTCTAACGACGCCATCACTGCTCTCAGTGTCTACCTCACACCCAAGACCAGTGAGTCCACACGCGCACACACACTCTCAAACACACACCTACGTGTACATGAATACACACACACACACAAATAATATATTTCCGTTGGGGTTCAGCCTTCCTGAGCAATTCTTATCTTTCTCTCTTTTTCTCCCTCTGACTCTAGGTGTGAGTGGTAACTGGATAGAGATAGCGTATGGAACCAGTTCTGGAGCAGTCCGGGTCATAGTTCAACACCCTGAGACAGTAGGCTCTGGACCTCAGCTCTTCCAAACCTTTACTGTCCACCGCTCCCCTGTCACCAAGATCATGCTCTCGGAGAAACACCTGGTCTCAGGTAAGAAGGGGAGAGAGCAGGAGGGGAGGATTTTGGGATAGGTTTGAGCGTTGTGTAATCGGGTTAAGAAAATAACAGGTATGCTAATGTTCACTATGTCTAAATATACAGTGTGGGGGGAAAAAAGTATTTGATCCCCTGTACGTTTGCCCACTGACAAAGAAATGATCAGTCTATAATTTTAATGGTAGGTTTATTTGAACAGTGAGAGACAGAATAACAACAAAAAAATCCAGAAAAACGCATGCCAAAAATGTTATAAATTGATTTGCATTTTAATTAGGTAAATAAGTATTTGACCCTTCTGCAAAACATGACTTAGTACTTGGTGGCAAAACCCTTGTTGGCAATCACAGAGGTCAGACGTTTCTTGTAGTTGGCCACCAGGTTTGCACACATCTCAGGAGGAATTTTGTCCCACTCCTCTTTGCAGATCTTCTCCAAGTCATTAAGGTTTCGAGGCTGACATTTGGCAATTCGAACCTTCAGCTCCCTCCACAGATTTTCTATGGGATTAAGGTCAGGAGACTGGCTAGGCCACTCCAGGACCTTAATGTGCTTCTTCTTGAGCCACTCCTTTGTTGCCTTGGCCGTGTGTTTTGGGTCATTGTCATGCTGGAATACCCATCCACGACCCATTTTCAATGCCCTGGCTGAGGGAAGGAGGTTCTCACCCAAGATTTGACGGTACATGGCCCCGTCCATCGTCCCTTTGATGCGGTGAAGTTGTCCTGTCCCCTTAGCAGAAAAACACCCCCAAAGCATAATGTTTCCACCTCCATGTTTGACGGTGGGGATGGTGTTCTTAGGGTCATAGGCAACATTCCTTCTCCTCCAAACTTGGCGAGTTGAGTTGATGCCAAAGAGCTCCATTTTGGTCTCATCTGACCACAACACTTTCACCCAGTTCTCCTCTGAATCATTCAGATGTTCATTGGCAAACTTCAGACGGCCCTGTATATGTGCTTTCTTGAGCAGGGGGATCTTGCGGGCGCTGCAGGATTTCAGTCCTTCACGGCGTAGTGTGTTACCAATTGTTTTCTTAGTGACTATGGTCGCAGCTGCCTTGAGATCATTGACAAGATCCTCCCGTGTAGTTCTGGGCTGATTCCTCACCGTTCTCATGATCATTGCAACTCCACGAGGTGAGATCTTGCATGGAGCCCCAGGCCAAGGGAGATTGACAGTTATTTTGTGTTTCTTCCATTTGCGAATAATCGCACCAACTGTTGTCACCTTCTCACCAAGCTGCTTGGCGATGGTGTTGTAGCCCATTCCAGCCTTGTGTAGGTCTACAATCTTGTCCCTGACATCCTTGGAGAGCTCTTTGGTCTTGGTCATGGTGGAGAGTTTGGAATCTGATTGATTGATTGCTTCTGTGGACAGGTCTTTTATACAGGTAACAAACTGAGATTAGGAGCACTCCCTTTAAGAGTGTGCTCCTAATCTCAGCTCGTTACCTGTATAAAAGACACTTGGGAGCCAGAAATCTTTCTGATTGGGAGGGGGTCAAATACTTATTTCCCTCATTAAAATGCAAATCAATTTATAACATTTTTGACATGCATTTTTCTGGATTTTCTCACTGTTGAAATTAACCTACCATTAAAATTATAGACTGATCATTTCTTTGTCAGTGGGCTAACGTACAAAATCAGCAGGGGATCAAATACTTTTTTCCCTCACTGTATGTATTTTAATGGCTGTGTTTCATACACATTGTGTGTGTTTGCCTCTGTCTTTCCATGTGTGTGTCCTTTAGTGTGTGCGGACAACAACCATGTGCGGACGTGGACGGTGACGCGGTTCCGAGGCATGATCTCCACGCAGCCTGGCTCCACCCCCCTGGCCTCCTTTAAGATCCTCTCATTGGAGGAGACGGAGAGCCACGGCAGCTACTCATCAGGCAACGACATCGGTGAGAGATGGGGAGAGAGAGGGAAATAGATATGGGAAATGGAAGGGATGGATGATATTTTTTTTATCTAGAAAGGGTCTCGAGCAGGTGTGTCAAACTCATTTTAGCTCAGGGGCCACATGGAGGAAAATCTATTCCCAAGTGGGCCGGACCGGTAAAATCATGGTATATATAACTTAAAAACAACAACTTCAGATTTGTTTTCTTTGTTTTAATACGATCAACATAAAGCTGGAGCCTGAGGACAGTGTGTCCAAAATAGTACAAGCACAACATCACTATTAATCATAAAACACCTCAAGTCTATTTGAAAATTCTAAAGAAAAAGAACACACAAACTCACAATGCCTCAGTGATTCACAGAACTGTTTCACAGATCACAGAACTATATCAGGGTGTCATTTCTCAGGCAGAAATGTAGATACAAATAATGAAATCCTGTTCCCCAAACAAGTGCAAGAACCACAGAGTCAAGAATAGGTTAAATATACAAATAAAATCAATTAAAAACAATAGCACATCAACATAAAAACATATAAACATAAAGCTGGAGCCTGAGGACAGTGTGTCCAAAAGCACAACATCACTATTAATCATAAAACACCTCAAGTTATTTGAAAATTCTGAGGACAAAGAACACACAAACACACAATGCCTCAGTGATTCACATAAGTATATCACAGTTCACAGAACTATATCAGGGTGTCTCATGCAGCACTTTAAGTGGGGTTGCATAGCTTATTTGACTCCTGATACCTGGCATCTTTTAGCTTTCACCAGCGCATCAATATCAGGCGTCACATCCTGAGTGGCAGCCAACTTCAGGATGTGATTCAAGTGCTTGTGCGAGAGCCTTGAGCGCAGCTTTGTTTTATTTATGCTCATTACAGAGAACTTGCTCACAAAGATATGTGGTTCCAAACATGCACAACAGTTTTGCAGCGAGGGCTGTCAAGTTGGGGTAACCTGGCAAGAGATTCTGATAAAATGTGTCCAAGCCAGCTGCGGCAAATTTGCCCTTCAAATCCGAGTCACACTGCAAGTCTATTATTTCAAGTTGGATGCTGACGGACAGATCAGAGGGATTCACAGTGAATGGCGAGCAAAAAACGTTGAAGTCTTTCTCCAGGTCACCAAAAATCTGAAAGCGTTGTTAAAACTCCCGTAACAGTCCTGTTATTTTATCTTTGAACCACTTCATGTCTGCCACATGTTGGGTCGCGCACACATTTTTCAGACAGGGGAAGTGAGCTGCATCACCACCGGCGAGTTGCGTCTCCTACAATGACAGCTTCAACTTGAAAGAACGTATGCTGTCAAAATACTGCGTGACAACTTTGTTGCGCCCTTGCAGCTGTTTGTTCAAGTTATTCAGGTGCTCTGTAACATCCACCATAAATGCAAAGTCCTGCATCCATTCTGCGGAATGAAATTCTAACACTGGTTTGCCCTTTTCTTCCATGAACTGTTCAATTTCTTCTCGTAAATCAAAGAAACACCTCAGCACAGCACCTCGGCTTAACCATCTTACCTCAGTGTGGTATGGCAGGCCATAGATGTGGTCTTTCTCTCTGAGAAGGCTGTCAAACTGACGGTGATTCAGGCTTCTGGATCGGATGAAATTAACAGTTTGGATGACCACCTTCATGACGTTATCCATCTTTAATGACTTGCAACACAAAGCCTCCTGGTGCAAAATACAGTGAAAAGTCCAAAAATCACGTCCTCCATTTGCAGATTGCACTTTCTCTCTGAACTTTGTCACAACACCTGCTTTTTTCCCGATCATTGAGGGCGCACCATCTGTAGCCAGGCTGACAGCGAGGGACCAGTCCACTCCGACCCTGTCCAGCGCGCCGACGAGTGCAGTGAAAATATCAGCTGCTGTCGTTGTATCTGTCATCGGCACCAACTCCACGAACTCCTCGGTGACGGTCAATGTGTCATCAACTCCGCGGATGAAAATGGCCAGTTCTGCAACATCTGTAATGTCCGTGCTTTCATCAATTGCAACCGAAAACGCAATAAATGACTTTACTTTTTGCTTCAACTGGCTGTCCAAATCCACTGAAAGATCGGAAATCCTGTCTGCAACTGTGTTTCTTGTCAGGCTGATATTTGCAAAAGCCTGGCGCTTTTCAGGGCACACAATCTCCGCTGCCTTCATCATGCATGTTTTTACGAATTCACCCTCACTAAATGGTTTTGAAGCCACTGCGATTTCATTAGCAATGAGGTAGCTAGCTTTCACTGCAGCGTCACTGATGTCTCGGCTGTGAGTAAACACAGACTGCTGTTTCTTCAGACCCGCCAACACCTTCTCTCTTCTCCGCTGTCCTTGAAAGTTGTCATATTTGTCGGCATGAAGACTCACATAGTGGCGACGAAGGTTATATTCTTTCAGCACTGCAACATGCTGGGAACACACCAAACATACAGCTTTCCCATTCAATTCCGTGAATAAATAGGAGGATGACCATTTTTCTTGGAACACTCTGCACTGCGTCCACTTTTCTCTTTTTTGACAGAGACATATTGGGGCAATGAGGGTGCCAAAGCACATAATGTTAAAAGTAGAAGCCGTAATAAATATTGCGGGCAAAACAAAGTAGCTCATCCGGACTGGCTGCACTTGCTTGACCTACTTGCTCTGCCCCGGTATAAACAGTTTGCTTGCTTAACACAATTGCTATTGCGCCATCCAGTGGACGCAATTGGAACCGCAGTTTCCTTTATTGAAAAATTGCAGCTCATTTTTATACTGATCCGGCCCGTGGGCCTGACGTTTGACACCCCTGGTCTAGAGCAAGGGTGTCAATATGGCCCGCGGGTGGTTTAAGTAAAAAAATACATATTTACGTTTTTTGTTGTTGGGAAAACAAACTCAATATACTTTAAAATCACTAAAACTAAATTGAAACTGTGTAGAAATTATAATGGACCTACCTTCATATAATTTTTTTACTGTTTCCAGATTGCTAATAATCACAAATGAAAGCTAGACAGTCAGGGAGCATCGAAAATTCCCAAAACGATGGATAGAGGACAATTTTCTTCAAATTTTGATGACAAGGAAATACAACCAATTTTCAGTGCGGCCCTCCGTACCTTGTTGAAGAATGAATGAGGCCCCGGGACAAAATAGTTTGACACCCCTAGTCTAGAGCCTAATGTTGGTGTGGGTCTAAATCCCAGTAAGACTTGTGTCATCTCCTTCAATGAAGGGCTTTTCACACTACTGAGCTTAACCAAGGTGAGCAAAACCAAGCTGTACTGCTTAAGCATCCACCATAGTTGCTGAAACCGTGCTGAAAGGACAATGTGAAAAGAAAATATCTGAGCCAACACAGTTTGGTTTGGGTGGGCATGATAGTGTGAAAAGGGTATAGCAGAGGGTTTAGAGCCCAATCTCATCAGTGTGGTCTGGTTTCCTCTCAGGTCCGTTTGGGGAGAGAGATGACCAGCAGGTGTTTATTCAGAAGGTCATCCCCGTCACCAACAAGCTGTTTGTTCGCCTCTCCTCCACCGGGAAAAGGTATTACACATCAGTTATCCTCACACAACATCTACTCAAATCGAATTGTATTTGTCAACAGGTGTAGACCTTACCGTGAAATGGTACTTACGAGCCCTTAACCAACAATGCAGAGTTTTTAAAGAGTAAGTAAGAAAAATTTGCTAAATAAAAGCCATATCTCAGACTGGCCAATAAAAAGAAAAGATTAAGATGGGCAGTCTGAGATATGGCTTTTTCTTTGCAACTCTTCCTAGAAGGTCAGCATCCCGGAGTCACCTCTTCACTGTTGATGTTGAGACTGGTGTTTTGCGGGTACTATTCAATGAAGCTGCCAGTTGAGGACCTGTGAGGCGCCTGTTTCTCAAACTAGACACTAATGTATTTGTCCTATTGCTCAGTTGTGCACCGGGGCCTCCCACTCCTCTTTCTATTCTGGTTAGAGCCGGTTTGCGCTGTTCTGTGAAGGGAGTAGTACACAGCGTTGTACGAGATCTTCAGTGTCTTGGCAATTTCTCGCATGGAATAGCCTTCATTTCTCAAAACAAGAATAGACTGACGAGTTTCTGAAGAAAGTTATTTGTTTCTGGCCATTTTGAGCCTGTAATCGAACCCACAATTGCTGATGCTCCAGATACTCAACTAGACTCAAGAAGGCCCGTTTTATTGCTTCTTTAATCAGCACAACAATTTTCAGCTGTGCTAACATAATTGCAAAAGGGTTTTCTAATGATCAATTAGCGTTTTAAAATGATAAACTTGGATTAGCAAACACAAAGTGCCATTGGAACATTGGTGGTTGCTGATAATGGGCCTCTGTACGCCTAGGTAGATATTACATTAAAAATCAGCCGTTTCCAGCTACAATAGCCATTTACAACATTAACAATGTCTACACTGTATTTCGGATCAATTTGATGTTATTTTAATGGACCAAAAAATTGCTTTTCTTTCGAAAACAAGGACATTTCTAAGTGACCCCAAACTTTTGAACGGTAGTGTACATGTATGTAGGGGTAAACTGACTGCATAGATAATAAACAGAAAATAGCAGCAGCATATGTGAAGGAGTGTGTGTGTGTGTGTGTGTGTGTGTTGGAGTGTAGTGAGTGTGTGGTTAGAGTCAAGTGAGTGTACATTGAACCTGTGCAAGCGAGTCAGTGCCAAAAATTATAAATAATAATAAAATAAGGGGGTCAATGTAAATAGTCCGGGTAGCCATTTGATTAAGTGTTCAGCAGTCTTATGGCTTGGGGGTAGAAGCTGTTAAGGAGCCTTTTGGTCCCAGACTTGACGCTCTGGTACTGCTTGCCGTGCGGTATCAGAGAGAACAGTCTATGACTTAGGCCTTCCTCTGACACTGCCTGGTATAGAGGTCCTGGATGGCAGGAAGCTCGGCCCCAGTGACGTACTGGGCTGTTCACACTACCCTCTGTAGGGCCTTGCGGTCGGAAGCCGAGCAGTTGCCATACCAAGCGGTGATGCAACCAGTCAGGATGCTCTTGATGGTGTATCTGTATAACCTTTTGAGGATCTGAGGTCCCATGCCAGATCTTTTCAGCCTCCTGAGGGGGAATAGGTGTTGTCGTGCCCTCTTCATGAGTGTCTTGGTGTGTTTGGACCATGATAGGTTCTTAGTGATGTGGACAGCGAGAAACATGATGCTCTTGACCCGCTCCACTACAGCCCCGTTGATGTGAATGGGTGTGTGCTCAGAAATCCTTTTCCTGGAGTCCACAATCAGCTCTTTTGTCTTGCTCATGTTGAAGGAGAGGTTGTTATCCTGGCACCACACTGCCAGGTCTCTGACCTCCTCCCTATAGGCTGTCTCATCGTCGTGTCGTCTGCAAACTTTATGATGGTGTTGGAGTTGTGTGCGGCCATGCAGTCGTGGGTGAACAGGGAGTACAGGAGGGGACTAAGCACGCACCCCTGAGGGGCCCCAGTGTTGATGGTCAATGTGGTGGATGTGTTGTTCCCTACCCTCACCACCTGGGGGCGGCCCGTCAGGAAGTCCAGGATCCAGTTGCAGAGGGAGGTGTTCAGTACCAGGGTCCTTAGCTTAGTGATGAGCATGGAGGGCACTATAGTGAATGAACAGCATTCTCACATAGCTGTTCCTTATGTCCAGGTGGAAAAGGGCAGTGTGGAGCGCAATAGAGATTGCGTCATCTGTGGATCTGTTGGGGCGGTATGCGAATTGGAGGGGGTCATGGGTTTCTGGGATGATGGTGTTAATGTGAGCCATGACCAGCCTTTCAAAGCAATTCATGGCTACAGATGTGAGTGCTACAGGGCAGTAGTCATTTAGACAGGTCACCTTAGCGTTCTTGGGCTCAGGGACTATGGTGGTCTGCTTGAATCATGTTGGTATTACAGACTCAGTCAGGGATAGGTTGAAAATGTCAGTGAAGACACTTGCCAGCTGGTCAGCGCATGCTCTGAGTAAGCGTCCTGGTAATCCGTCTGGCCCTGCGACCTTGTGAATGTTAACTTGTTTAAAGGTCTTACTCACATCGGCTACGGAGAGTGTGATCACATCATTATGTTACTTTCATCCAGCTCACAGTAAACGCACTTAAATTCATCAAATGTGTCCCAAGTGGGCATACAACCTTTAACCGAAGTGTTGCTAGCACTATGCTCAAACACACTGAACTACCAGAACTGTGGCTGCTCTGTTCTGGTCTGAATGCAGTCAGTTCCGGTCTGATGTGGCTGTCCTGGTTGTCCCTGCTAGGATCTGTGAGGTGGCGGCGGTGGATGGGACCACCATCTCGTGTTTCACGGTGAGGGAGTGTGAGGGTTCTAGCAGGATGGGTTCTAGACCCAGGAGGTACCTCTTTACTGGCCATGGCAACGGCAGCATTCAGATGTGGGATCTCACCACCGCTATGGACACCGCCAACAAGGGAGAGGAGAAGAAGACCGATGGTGAGGAGTGATAATACATTATTTGTATAGGAACAGATGCATCCGAGGGCATTGTACATATCCATGGCTTGTATAGTGTCATTTTGACACTTTGTTTTCACATTTAGTTCGACACTGATAAATTATGTGTTTAATTCACAGAGGTGGGCGGGCCAACAGAGGAGGAGCTGCTGCAGCTATTGGACCAGTGTGACCTCAGCACCTCCCGCTGTGCCACGCCCAATATCAGCCCCGCCCCTTCAGTGCTGCAGCACAGCCGCCTCCGAGAGTCCTGCTCCAGGTCAGTTACACACCTAAATCTGTCTCTGACTCTTCATGTTGTGAACGTTTGTCTGTATACTTGTCTTTTTCATGGCATCTGTATCTATTTATCTGATCCCCATTCTCTCTCTGTCTGTCCCAGCCTCCGGCTGCAGGCCCAAGAGCCCATCCCAGAGACGGCCACCTACGGAGCCCTACGACCCTACAGAGAGAGCCCCCTGCTGGCCCACGCCCGCCGCACAGAGTCCTTCCACAGCTACAGAGACTTCCAGAACTTCTCCCTGGGGACAGGTCTGCTGGAGCGCCCCGGACAGGCTCCAGGACAGGGGGCAGGTCCAGGTACAGAGGCCCGAACCCGGTCACTGTGCGAGGCTGGGGGAGAGGAGGGAGAGCGGAGGGGCTCGGCCATGGAGCTCTGGGCTAGCCGAAGCGCTAACGCCGCTAATGCTGATGTTGTTGCTAATGCTGCCGTGGTCACAGGTGGCGCCACTGCCGAAGAGGGCGTTTTGGAATCGCCATGGCAACAACCCGACAGTCCTGGAGGAGACGTTCGGGGAAGGGCCCAATTGGAAGAGGAGGGGGTGGGGTTAGGATCAGTGGCGGAGGCTAGGTCTGAGGTGAGAAGGAAGGGAGGGTTTGAGGGGGCGGTATTTCTGGGCAGAAAGAGAGCACCTCCAGTCCCCCAGCTCACCACGCTTCCCTCGGTGGGGTCTGAGGGGGGAGGCAGTGACTCCTCCTCCACTGCCTCCCCCATCCCCCACCCAGCTGGCTTCCACTTCCCCCCGACACAGGAAGTGCAGCGAGCCGGCCAATCTTGACAGCAGCCTGTGAGTTACGGACAGCTCTGACACGGACACGCCCCTGGTGTCGGTAAGTCAACAGCTCCGGGTAGAAGTTACTCCTCTAGCTACTGATCTAGGACCAGCCTACCCTCCCCAAATCCTAACCTTAACCATTAGGAGTAAAACATACTAAACTGACTTTGGATCAATGTTTGGGGGCAACTTCATCTCACAGGCAATATTCAAGACTGCCACAGTATGACATCTCAAAATAAAGCCCTATATTCTCAGTCAAGAGAAGAAACTTGACGCCTGCTGGAAGTTGCTAACTAGCCTAAGGATGATCTTCTAGTTCAGAGCATGACTTTAACCCTTCAGATCTCTCCATCATGGCTGGAATCTGGTAGCTACATAAGTGGTCCTCCTCCAATGTTTGTTCCAATAGTCCACTCATGATATCAGTAGGAAACTTTGTGTTCGAGGTATATAGTTTACCGACTATTAACACAAAGTGCTAGATAGGTTTATTTCCCCCTTGTGGTTGTGATCACTTTCACACACTCATGGTTTGGGTTCGCAGGTTGTGAACCTCCACACAACACACAGTAATGCTGTTCAACCAGCCAGTGGCCATGCGTGTTGTGTTTTAGACCTGAATGAATTCTACATTACACAGTAAATCACCTTATCATTTTTCTTTCTCAAAACAGACAGACATCTCATGCTGAAGGTCAAAGTGACTTTGCATGGCATTCTATGTTATTATAAATGTAAGGAATCATACTTAGTGCCTTTTTAAACATTAGCCATAGTCTAAATATCCACCTGTCCTTTCAGTGATGTAGAGAGGAAGTAGACCAAAGGTTGAATGGAGTATATCTGTCTGTATGCAGTGTGTTGGTCTCACTGTCCAGTGGTGTCACAGGTTGGATAGCTGCTATTATCGTCACTCCTGTCACCCAACAGTAGCTTTCAGATGGAGAGCGAGAATAAGAGGAAAGAGAGGGAGTTTTCAGTGGAGCCCGTCCTCCCTCCACGCCCATCAATAGACTAGACCTGGGTCAAATACATACAACTTGAGGTGCACTTGATTTAGCTTGCCCAGTACAATGGAACCAATGGAATATTCCCAAAAATGCGAACCAAACAAAATCAAGCGCACCCATTGTATCTGAAAATACAGTATTTGACCCAGGTCTGTCCTAGACCGAGATGTTTAGTAAGAGAGGGAATGACACCAAACTGAGGGTTCAACATGTACAAAGATATAAATCTAAATAATATGCAACCTGATTATACACTACCGTTCAAAAAGTTTGGGGTCACTTAGAAATGTCCTTGTTTTTGAAAGAAAAGCACATTTTTTGTCCATTAAAATAACATCAAATTGATCAGAAATACAGTGTAGACATTAATGTTGTAAATGGCTGTTGTAGCTGGAAACGACTGATTTTTTAAAATGTAATATCTACATAGGCGTACAGAGGCCCATTATCAGTAACCATCAGTCCTGTGTTCCAATGGCACGTTGTGTTTGCTAATTCAAGTTTATCATTTTAAAAGGCTAATTGCTCATTAGAAAACCCTTTTGCAATTATGTTAGCATATTTGAATTAGCAAACACAACGTGCCATTGCAATAAAACTGGCCTTCTTGAGACTAGTTGAGTATCTGGAGCATCAGCAATTGTGGGTTCGATTACAGGCTCAAAATGGCCAGAAACAAAGAACATTCTTCTGAAACTCGTCAGTCTATTCTTGTTCTGAGAAATGAAGGCTATTCTATGCGAGAAATTGCCAAGAAACTGAAGATCTCGTACAACGCTGCGTACTACTCCCTTCACAGAACAGTGCAAACTGGCTCTAACCAGAATAGAAAGAGGAGTGGGAGGCCCCGGTGCACAACTGAGCCAGTCTCAACTCCGGGATGCTAACCTTCTAGGCAGAGTTGCAAAGAAAAAGCCATATCTCATACTGGCCAATAAAAAGAAAAGATTAAGATGGGCAGTCTGAGATATATATGGCTTTTCTTTGCAACTCTGCCTAGAAGGTCAGCATCCCGGAGTCGCCTCTTCACTGTTGTCGTTGAGACTGGTGTTTTGCGGGTACTATTTAATGAAGCTGCCAGTTGGAACATTGGTGGTTGCTGATAATGGGCCTCTGTACGCCTAGGTAGATATTACATAAAAAATCTGCCGTTTCCAGCTACAATAGCCAATTACAACATTAACAATGTCTACACTGTATTTCTGATCAATTTGATGTTATTTTAATGGACAAAAAAATGGCTTTTCTTTCGAAAACAAGGACATTTCTAAGTGACCACAAACTTTTGAACGGTGGTGTATATGGAGAATATACCTACATAATCAAAATAATATAATATGTAATCATACTGATGCATTTTAAATGTGTGTATAACTCTTATCTACATATTTGCTGTTTGCGACATATCTGTTTGTTCTCATATAAGCTATTCATATTAATATTTTATCGTACCTAAATTGCATTTGCACTCGCACCTCGACGATGAAGTAACATTTTTATTTTGTATGAGATGATATTCAGCCCTTTGATGACTAATGCCTGTCCCTCTCTATGTCTCTGTGTGTCTAAGGCCTGGATTCATTCCGATCCGTGTTAGATCCGCCCGATTGAGCCGACACAGTATGCAGCATTTACCGTGAATGCGGTCTCTGCGAACGCGGGAACATTGCCTTTAAAAGGTGCATAGCCGGCCCAAAAAGGGCCGATCGGATTAAATCTAGGCCTAAGCTATATCTCTTCTCTGGCTATGTTTACACTTTCGCCTCAGACAGATACTAAAGAAAAGGAAGAGATCTATTTATGTCGCTCGTTATAACATTTTGGATAACTTGTACAAACGCATTATTATGTCGCTATGTATTAGTGCTTGCTAGACTACATGGTATAGTACTAGCCTATTACTCACCTGTTGGCACTGAATTGCTGTTGTCTTTGAGCTGGCTAGGCGTATAGGATGTAGGAAGAAGTCTTAGGGATCTATTCAATCTGTAAAGCTGAAGTGTTACAGATTCTGCTATAGGAATATAAAAGGTAATTTCCGATTGAGCCGACATATGCAGCATTTACCATGAATGCAGTCTCTGCTAAAGCGGGAATATTGCCTTTAAATTTCAATCGCACTGTAAAGCTGAACTTCCACGATGGGGATTTAATAGAGCCCTAAAGACTGACACAGGACCTATTTATAACCCTTCAGTTCAGCTTGGGTTTATCTGACAAGCAGTAGTCACACAAACCTGGTAACCTTGTATTGTAAAGTTGGGTGTAATAGGGTTACAGGGCATGCAGGCTTTTGCTCCATCCCAGCACTACTCTTAAGTCTCTGGCTGTAGCCATGGGATCAACATGTCTGTTATGTCGCTCTCTGTGGGTAACCGTGCAAGGAGGGAGCACCAGGTTAGTGTGGATACTCTTGTCAAAGTGTGTGTGTGTGTGTGTGTGTGTGTGTGTGTGTGTCCCAGACAAGCGTGACACACTCCGAAGCAGCGCTGGGCTCTCAGCAGTGTAACCTTCCCTTTAGAAAAGTTAGCAACTTTGTTAGCTGGTGTTTGATAGCTGTGTGATTTATGAGCGTAATAAAGTGGTGTTGCTGCTTCTGAATGTGTGAGCCGCCAAGGGCCATACTGTCTGCTACAATCACTCTATTTTTACTTTAGAAAACATATTTTTTTTAAACTTTAACAATAGCTGTGAATGTGCCTGTGAACGTGCAGCTACTATGCCCTTGTCAAAATGGCGTCCTTGAGTTGGGGCACAGTCGTAACTGCCAGTTTGGTGTGTCCCTTTTAAGGGACATAAAAACAAAACTGACCGCTACATGGCAAGCTGAAATACCGTCCCCATAGGTTTGTGTGTGTTAAAGCCTTCCCAGAAGAGTGGAGGCTTTTATAGCAGCAAAGGGGGGACCAACTCCATATTAATGCCCATTAATTTTTGGGGGATGTTTGCCGAAAAGGTGTCCACATACTTTTGGTTGTGTGTGTGCGTGATGTGATTTGGTTGACATGGAGGACCTAATACTAGTTGAATGGCAGGCCTTAGTTATGCAGCAGTATCTCTACTGCTTGGTAGACGGGTCTGGGTGGCCTCGGTTAGGTACTACAATGTGAATCCACTAGAGGGCACTGTGGATGTGTGTAAAATCAAGGTACAGATTAACGCTGTGGACACTGAATAAATAAATGAATATATACCGACTACATATATGGTGTCTTCATACAGTTTAGTGTGGTTTTAGCATTGGTTAGGAGAACCCTGTTGATGACAAAAGCATGCTGTTTATCTGTTGCTAATGATGACATTTTCAGTGTAATGTCTCACATCGACCCTTCATAGGAATTTTGTTAAACAGCGTTGACACGAAATAGGTACTTGTGTGTGTTCTGTAACTCTAGCTGCTGTGTCTGTCCTTTCTGACGTCTCCTCGAGTCTGTACTGATGGAGTAAAACACACTAACTCAGTATATCAACTGTCTCTGTGTCTTTCATCAAACACTAAGCGCAACTGTGACACGTCATCACACTTGTTTCATGCCTCACTCCAATCCTTTCGGTTTCCAAAACGTTAATGTTTATGTTGTGAGCATTGTTATATGATAAAGTGTGTGCATGTACCACCCTCTGGTTTTTGTTCCAGCCAACAACCGCAACATATCACACTAAGTCAAATATCACTATTTCCCAAGTACATTAATATTCAGAGACATACAAAAACACCATTTATAAACTGGGTGGTTCGAGCCCTGAATGCTGATTGGCTGAAAGCTGTGGTATATCAGACCGTATACCACGGGTATGACAAAAACATTATTTTTACTGTTCTAATTATGTTGGTAACCAGTTTATAATAGCAATAAGGCACCTCAGGTGTTTGTAGTATATAGCCAATATACCATGGCTAAGGGCTGTATCCAGGCACTCTGCGTTGCGCATAAGAACAGCCCTTAGCCGTGGTATCTTGGCCATATACCACACCCCCTCATGCCTTAT